CCGATACAGCCCGATACGTATCGTATTGGGGGCTTCCCAATAAGCCCCTACAAGGGGTGTTTTGGGGTCTCAACCGGTTCAGAGGGTGGATGGACCTTAAACCAGCCCCTCTGAACCAGATTCGGAAAAAAATAAGAAAAATAAAAAAAGCTATCGATATTGCCCGATACGCCTCTACTGGTGTATCGGGCATATCGATATTTTGAACCTTGTCTATTAATACAGATAATTAACTTTCTCATAAGAAACCTCCCCATCCAAAAGCCTTGAATTCTGAAGAACCTGAAAATCTTCAAATATCTCAATGCAGTAAAGCATCTTTATCTTGAAAACAAGTTTTCAGGGAATAGAAACATTGTACCTAGCCATAAAATATGGCTTTTTGAAAAGTTTCAAATTTGAGACAGAAAAAAGTCGAGCATACATACCACACACACACACACACAGACTATAACAAGGAGGGAGCATAAAAAATTTCAAGTTTCCCAAGATCCTTCCAAGTACCTAAATCCCATAATGATCTAGAGCATTATAACACACAGAAAGAGATTTAGTTTTCCAAGAATAAGAAAGGACTGTACCATCATAAAGAGAAAAATATCTCCCATCAAGATCATCAAGGTTTGGTCCCCTCCCATTTTGGAATGTCATACACAATAAAAGCTATTTAAAAAAGAAGGAAGAAGGTAACAGTTTCACGGAAAGGTGAAACTTACAAAATTAGCCAAAGTCACATGCATTAGCATGTGATCTATACTTACTCTATTGGTTCAATGTTACTAGAATACTAGAATAATATAGTTATTAATCAAAAAAGTGCTACTAGAATAACTAATGAGGTTCCAGCAATATTCAACAAACAGTAAGAGCATATTCCTCTTCTGTATCAAAACTTTCTTAACTTGCCAAAAGTGTCTCAACTGATAAGGTAGTCCTTTATAGTATCACTATGTTTTGTAAGATGCTACTCTGGATTTACGCATTTCACATCAAACATACACAAGTAATAGACAATTAGACAACTTAATAAATGTCATTCTGTAAAGCATCTTGCGTCATGGCCTTACATTTTAAATGTGCATATACATACATAAAGTTCTCAACCCCTGTGTAAACCACTTCACCATAAAGTGAGAACTATTACTTCAGCTCTTTATCTTCCAACAAATCCCAAAAGGTGCCGAAAATAAGAAAACATTGAAAGAAAAGAACATGGAAATAACCACTTTTCGACAAAGGATTGTAACTCCCTACAAATTCAACTGCTACAATTATAAAAGAAGGCCATTAACCAATATTGGTCCTAGTTACATGAGGTATTGGGATGGGGTGGACGTGTTACAGTCCAAACCTTTGGCATTTTTTTGCACAGAGTGGCCACTCTCATGGCCGAACCTATGTTTTCACACTTGCAGCCTGAGATTAAATCATTACTCCAAGCATCAGCTCCTAAATGTTAAAATTATAAATATCCAACAAAACAAATCCCTCAGAAAAAATGTCATTCCATAAGCTTTACAGAAAAGTCCATTTTACTCAAAAAGACCTAAGAAAGCTACCTCATCTTCAAGACAAGTATTTTGCAAGGATTGCATTTTTTCCATGTAAAAAGGGTACTAAACAATGTTAATGTTTTCGCTGTAAATTGGCTAAAGCCCAATTGAAATTATAGAGATTGAAAATTCCCCACCCCTTATAGAGTGAAATAAATGCAGCTTAGGCTTAAAACCAAAGGAAATCATCCAAAGGGGTAGCTGGCCCTCTAAGCATGACACAATGCCCATTTCACACGAAAAGGCTCAAGAAACACTGCCATATAAAACTAGCAAGCTAGGAATGCGCAAATAGACAGTGTAAGCTTTGCCCATCTTCAGTGCAAGTATGCAGAAATTCTACATAGTATATTTCCTTTATTTCAACTGGCAAGCACTTCTTAAGAACTGCAATTCACAACTGTTTTAGGAGACACTTTCAAACTCTAAATGGACTTTAGTGGGAAGAGCAGGAACAACCAATGCACAAGCCCTAGAACTGATGGAATTAATCAAACAACCGATTTAACATGTAGGACTATAACTTACCACCACACTCTACAGTCCATCTCTCACCAGCTTTCACTCTAGGCATCACTTACTCTAGTGGCATGTAGCACCTTTCCAAAGTCTCATTCCAGCAGCAAGGGGCCCTCTCTTTAGGTGCCTCTCATTCTGCTCCAGGTAGCCCTTCATGTGACGTCCTTCACACTATACTAGGTAGCCCTTTACGCAAAAGCTTTCACTCTACTCCAGATAGCCCTTTTCTATGACTTGAACCCAAGACATGGGAGTATGCTTTGATACCAATTGTTATGAATCTAACTAATACACTAAAAACTCTATTATTTTGTTAGAGCACATAAGGCCAACCATTTAACCTTTAAGGTCATAACACAGGGCATCTGAATAGGCTAGGCAGAGAAGAAAAGGCAAACCAAATAATTCTTCATTAGCATTTCAGTGCATATTCTTCATCTTCGAGAGGATCTAGTTTTGCATCTCTCACTTAACTTTATAGGATATGAAGCTGCACCTCATTTAACTTCATAGAGAGGCTATCATCTCTACCACTTCCAAATCAAGTTTTCATCTCTATAATGGATACCAAGTTATAATTTCATTTCTAGATACCAGGAAGGAATGCAGAACTCCCACCTCACCATCTTAACAACTAAATTCAAACAAAGATGGAAAAACATCCCCACCTTCATAACTGATAACTGCAAACAAAGATACAAATAAGCTTTATAGTTTATTTTTTATCATAGTACAATCAAATGACCCTGATTTTTTGTTGATACTAAATATAAAATTTTATTAAAGAAAGAAGGTACAAAAATAGATAATAAGGAATCACTCACCGACAAAGTAGGAGAATAACAACAAGTATCCTACTTTCACCAACAACAGCAATCCTCAACATGACCACCCCAAGAAGCAAAAATTAATAAAAGAAATTATACACACTAATGGTACACCTTGTGATTCTAAACCAGATGATAAGAATCATTACAAACAAAATTGGACAACAACGAATTAGAGGACCTTGATTTTAAAGACCACTCCTTGAAATTGTCTACCCTAAAAAATCTGTCATCATGATCCACCTTTAAATCTATGATGCCCACATATGGATATGGATGCAACACAGATACAGGAAATGGGGATACGACTCTCTGCTTCCTAAAGTTCTGTAATATGGATATCCCATGTAATATAACCTTATAGCATGGATCTGTATCTAGTTCTTTTTTTTTTTTGTTGTTGATAGATGGATCAGTATCTAGTTTTTGAAGCTAAGCAAATAATTTTGCACATTTTATCATTCCCTATATAGTTGGGACAAGGCCTAGTTCTCAACTTGAGATACCATTTTCTTTTACATATTTTAAAAGTGTTAATGCTTTAGAATACATCTATAGGTGTCCATGCAGTATCCAGTATTGTAGCCTGTAAGCAGTGTGTCCAACATTGATCCACTAGGCATGTATAGGTAATTGCTATACCATATCTTTCACACCTGCAATAACTTATAATACGTCCTTGAGATCCCATCCCATACACCATCACCCTACTCATTACCTCACTGCCATCATAACCCTTGCTCATACACCCATATCATTGCCACAGAAACCCTTAACCATTAATCATAGAACATGTATATTGCTCAAAAATCATAGAACATGTATAAAACCTTTGAAGCCCTTTTTGCAACACAGCATTCTCCATTGTCTTTAATGGACAAAAGGATGTCCTTAATGGACAAAAAACTCACATTTTCTTTGAAAGTGCACCAATTCATAACTTAATTAATTTTTTTTCTTTGGATGTGCACCAGTTCATTTGAAGTAATGGTTTATTTCCTTCCCACAGACCTTTCAAAGGAAGTCATATATAAACGTTTCTTGTGTCTCACCCACCAAATAGAATAACAAATAGGAAGAAAAGTACATAGGAGAATTGAAAATGTTCTTGTGATCAAGGTATCACCCTCAGGCAAGCAGTTCCCCTTCAAGAGGACCAACCAATTAGTCAGTTGAAGGAACCCCAGCCATCATAATTAGTCTTTCGATAGTAATGATGTGGTTGTCTAGGATAACTAAGTTTTGACTAGTACAACCTTGTTAGAGTAGACCATGTACAAACAAATAATTAGCCAACTTGTTGTCAGAGTAGGAAAACAGATAATCAGTAGTACTAACTAAAGAATAGCCTCAAAACAGTAGAGGTCAAATATAGTATAAATGTATAATGATCGAAAACAAGACCATTAAACCATTCATACGCCAGAGACAACTCCTACGTAAAAGAAAAAGAACATTACACAATACTTGTTCCATCAGGGCTCTGATATAAGTAGACTGCACATGGACCTAGGCCCCAGAATGTTTAGCATGAACGGCCAGTCTAACACGAGATTTTACCACCACACCAAGCTATGAACCCTAAAGTCTACCCCTCCACGTAGCATCAGCAAAAATAAACTTCCAAGTGGGTCAAGAAATATCTAAAATTTCTTTCGATCGGCTTTACGTTCTACCTCACCGAAGAAGATTTAACGCACTATTTTTATTATCATTATACTTTACAGGATTGAAGCGCAAAATACTCTCGCAAAGCTCTTTGCACCTGCAAACCGAGAAGACTCCAAAGCTACCAATTAAAGTTTAAAGCCCAAAACATTAATTTAAAACAAAAGAAAGTGACAAATAGTTTAACCTCTTGAAAACCCTTTTAGGAATTTATACCACAGAACATATACAGAAAACCCACGTATAAGGAATTAAATCAATATACTCCTAAAACCATATCTATCATCATATCACGGCCACAGGGAAAGAAGAAAAAGAAAAATATGCCGCTACTTAAAATGAAATTACAAAGTCATCACCAATCCCCGAATACCCATTAGAATATCTCTGGGGAAGTAAAGAATGCACAGAGTATGGAGAAGACCCATGTCACTCACAGATCAACTTCGCAGTTCTTTGGTCCGCCGGACAAAACCCCAGTCTGTGTGTTCGAGGAAAACCCGACCTTCAGGTCTTCGCAGAAGACCCTCAAAAGATGCCTCCTCGTCCGCCAGGCGCCGGCCTTGAACCAAACCCAAGCCCCGATATTAACATTGAAACTTACGGACCCGCTTGACCGGTCCGAAGCCAATGCACTCGCAGCATCGCCGATGTAACCAGACGAGGCCGCAAACCTGGCCCGCACCGTGGTCTCGTTCTTCTTCCCCTGGGACAAAGGGGGGAGGGAGGTATCAGAGAGGGACTGCCTACGATAAAACAAGGTGGAAAACATGTTGTCGTAGTGAACGCTCATCTTCTTGTTAGGGTTCCTGACAGTGAAGCCGACGTCCCAATTTCCGGTGACCTGAGAATTGTTGATGTTCAAAGAGGAAACGGAGACCGAATCGACTCGGAACTCGGGTACATGAGGATGGAGAACGAGCCACACGATGAAAGTGATGGCGCCGATGATGAGGAACACGGCAATAATTGCGGCGATAAAGCGGCGGAAGAAGGTAGTGCGCCGTTGGTCGTAAGGCGGGGTATAGTATGGATTGGTGTTGTAGTAAGCTGCTGGCAGTGGTGCGGTGTACGGGTAGGATGTGCCGGTGGCGGTGGATGCGGCGGAGTAGCTAGACTGCGCCGGAGGGTAGCCGTTGGAATTGTAGCTAGATTGCCCCTGGTGGTAGCCTGGTGGATAGCCTGTTACTGGTTTGTTTGGATCTTCCATGGTCGAACCGAAGTGGAGAGCTTTCTCTAAAACAAACGACTGAAGTCGAAGCAAGTGAAGGAGAGAAGTACCAGAGAAGAAAATCAGAAGAAGTGGATCGGGAAGTTGAGCTAAGAGTCAACTACCGAATTAAAAAGTAGCAGAAGCGTAAGCGCGTCGAAAAGATCATTCCAGAATTTGATTCCATTTCGAAGTCTTGCTACACTGAGGTCTCTTTTTATTATTTTTTTTTACGTTTTTTAATTTTTTCTAGGATGGCAATTTCCCCCGTAAAACCGGGCCCCCGCCCCGCCCCGAACGGATCGGGCGGGGATGGAAAAATAATTTTTCTCTAAACTGTGGACGGGGCGAGGACGGGTTTTGTATATAATTCTCCCAATTCGCCCGAATTCAAAAATAAATTAGTAAAATATCTTTAGGTTTAATATTAATATTTAAAATATTTTTAATTTTTTTCTAAATTTTTTAAATTTTAGATTCTATAATTTTATTTTTGAATTATTCATAAAGTATTATAATTCAATTCTAAAATACCCCCAAATTCCTCTTATATCGTATATATAAATTGTCCATAAAATATATAATATTTAAGTAATTGTCTTGGAGTGGAGAAAATTCGGGGACTCACTGTCCGTGATGGGAAATGGATGCCCCGCCTTGCCACTGGGGATGGGGCGGGTATGGGAAATGGATGCCCCGCCTTGCCACTGGGGACCGGGAGGGGGTGACCCGCCCCAAACCCACCCCGTTGCCATTCCTAGTTTTCTCTTTGAAGGGTAAAAATAAAATACAAAACTCTCCCCTCAAGTTTCCAACAATCATAAAAACCTCTTGTAAACATTCACTTTATCAAAAATCTCTCTTACATTTTTAAAGAATTCGACAAAAACCTCCCTTCCGTCAATGAGAAAGAAATAAACGTTAAACCGGTGAATCAAATTTTCAAAATACCTATTTTAGTGTTTTTCAAATTAGTTTGCATCTATTTTTACTGATACCGCCACATGGCCGCTCGTTCTCCTGATTTGTTGATGACACTTCTATCATCACCGTCAAAACTAGTGTCCCCTGGACCCCTTCACCAGCCACAAGATCAGTGCACCCTCTACAAGGCTAAGCTCATCTGCAGTTTTTGTCATCTTTATGATGGCCAAGAAGCCACCTCTGTTGGCATGGAAGCTGCCATCACGAAGAAGGTCTGAATCATCACCGCTATGCCGGAACCCTTCTTGAGTCCTTTGCTGAACTGATGGATATATCGTCAAGATGGTTGCTCTAAGGGAAAGGGAGGCTCCATGCATTTCTACAAGCAGGACTTTGACTTCTATGGTGGGTATGGAATTGTTGGTGCAGAAGTACTTCAAAGATAATACTATCACGTTTGTTATGTACGGTGATGATGCGGCCAATCAAGGCCAGTTGTTTAAAGCACTCGATATGGCAGCTCTTTTTGATCTTCTCACAATTTTGGTCTATAATTGAATGAGATAAATAAGTAATACAATTTTACTAAGGGCAATTTTTGGACCATAATATCAATAAAAGTAATATTTTTAATAAAATATCAAAAATAGGTTAATTTTTTAAAAGTAATACCAAATAAGGGCAAAGATATTGTTCATCTTCTTATTCTTGTAGAAGCGTCGCCGCCTCCGGCAATGCCTCCATCTTTGCCCAACACTGCCACCTCCGCCCACCTCCACCTATTAGGCTATTATTGTAAGCGACTATAATTGAACCACCATTATAGTCACCACCACCTCCGCCTCTACCTCTGCCCGACGCCACCACCTCCGCCCAAATAGAAAATTTCTTTGAGTTTTCGATTCGAAGTTGTCTTGATGTCCAATTCCAAGTGATGGTCAAAATCGTCATCGTCATTATGGTGGTCAAGGTAGCCGAATCTCTGGAGATAGCATTTAACTTGGTTGAGACCTTTTACTCTGTCTCCCTTGTGGCATCCTTCTAACTGACACAAGAACTAAAATGCTTCTGGTTTGTCAGCTTCGCCATGACCATGAGACTGAGAGAAGGAGAGGGAAGACGAGGAGGAGAGGGAGGACGAGGAGGACGATAAGAGCATGCCTTTGCACCCACTAATGGAAGAGGCAGAGGAGAGAGATACATTCACAACTTCTCTGAGTTGTTGATAAGAGCATGCCTGAGAGTTGTGAAAACTTCTCTAAGAATGCCTCCGCTCAAACTCAGAGAAGTTGCTCATGCCTTTGCACCCACTGATGGAAGAGTGCATTTCGATTCGGAGGAGCGATGGACAAATGGTATCAGAGAAGTTGCTCATTGATTACCGCTACCACTTCAACTTGTTGTTCCATCCCAGCCTATCTCGTCTTGCTCCTGCACATCATATGAAGAAATAGTTGCCTTTTAATGGCGATCCAATTACCATCTCTGGATTCTTTCAAAAGATTGAAAGCTGAAAGGAATCGTTTTCGGTATTTAGCACTAATATACATAAATCCGAAAACATTTTTTTGTAGGACTAGGAGTGGTAAAAGATATTTCGCCCTCTAATATTAAAAAAATCTAGGACCTACATACAGAACAACACAGACAGATAATAAAAGAGAGAAAAAACGAGAAAAAGCAAACGATGAGAATAAAGCCTGGAATAGGAAGATGAAATCTGCAGGTAGAATCTTGTGCACTTGGGAAAAGGTAGAAGGCACATGACGTTTATCTATTATCAATGCTTTTATAGAGGAAAGACGAGATAATATAAGAGGGTCTGGGTTTGACCTAATGGTTGAGCTCTGCTTAGAAAATGCAAATGAGAAATATAACACTGCAGTTCTGGTGTTTGTTTGATTCTATGGTTTTTCTTCTTCTACAAGAAGAAGATGATGAACAGTATCTTTGCCCTTATTTGATATTACCTTTAAAAAAGTTAACTTATTTTTGATATTTCATTAAAAATATTACTTTTATTGATATTAAGGGCCAAAAAATTGCCCTTATCTGATATAACCCCTAGTTCTTATGCTGGCGGTGGTTAGAATCCACAACATCATCAATATAAAGATCATTGTTAAACGAAGCCTGTAGTTCATGCCAACAAATTGGGCAAGAATTGTGAATTTGCAACTAAGGAACAATGCTATTAATCATTAAAAACAATAATTGATTTTTTTTAGTAATATACATAATAGAGAAATATTAGTAAACTACTAAGGATAGTAATACTTAATAATAATAATAATTAATAATATTAAATAACATATAATAATATTAATAATAATTAAGAACGAGTAATAATATTAATGATAATTGATAATATTAACAATACTATTAATAATATTTAATAATAACTCAAGGTTTTTAAAATTGGACCGGACAAGAAACCGTTTTGGGGACCCATTCCTGGGTCGAATGCTCTAACCGTCCGATTCATGGATGACTCATTCTGACTTAAAAATTAAGAAAAATATAAAAAATAAATGGTCAAAAAATGTTGTCTGAATCAACAGTTCAATCACCTGGGTCAACAGGTCTCTAACCAAATCAACGATTTTTTGCCAAAGAGTGGTTTTAGGGTGAACGGAACCGGTTACCTAACCGTCCGGTCTGATCTGATTTTAAAAACCATGATAAATAACTAATAATATTAATAATAATTAAAAATAATTATTAGTATTAATAAAAATAATATTCAGAACTTATTAAATAATAAAATAATAATATTAATAATTAGGGTAAAACACATGTTGCATGGTTTTAGGGTAAAAACACATTATTTGAGAGTAGTGTGAAGGGATCAATATGAAAATAAATGTCCACAATAGCGTGGACTTGTCCATGAGAAATAACCGTAGACGATATTTTACCTTGTGGTGTGGACTGTTCCACGATATATTATGGTTTAATCCACACCACAATGCAACCGAACACTAAGAGAAAGCATGGCTTGTTTCAATCTGCAATATATCATGATTGAGCCACAGTTTCGAAAACCACCTTAATTTTCTGTTGAACATGCCTGGACATAAACAGTCTCTCCTAGTTAGTGAGGGATAATAGAGGAACATGTTTGCCATTTTAAAAATATTTTGATTTTGATAGGTAGAAGATTCCTTGATTGTTCAGCCTTCGTTACAATAAATGAAATGATTAATAGATCGATTTTTAATTGGTTAGAGACAAAAAATCATACACAACGGGCTGGGCAATTTATCACAAATAAGCACCGGCCAGTGTTCCATACGCATAAGATATAGGTCCTGCATGGGCTAGACCTATTCATGGGCCGGGTAGCCCGATGGCCCAGCGCGCACCCCGGTCGGGCTTGGTCATGTAATTAGGCCCGCGGGCCTGACCTCGGGCCTAACATAGTAAGCCCGACTGTGTTACAGGCCAGGCTCGGGATTTGTCAAAAAAGCCCGACCCGAGCCTGGCCCGGTCCGATTCAGCATTATATATTTTATAAAATACATAATATGTATTTTATATATTATAAAAAATATATAAATAATATAATATTTATTGAAATATATATATTTATAATTTAATATATACATTTTTTTATTTTTTCTTTATAATTTCTCTCTCACTCACACTCTCTCTCTATTCAATTGTTTCAGCAGTACTAATAACATGGGATAAATTTCGGGCTCGGGCCCAAGCCCTGGCTTCGGGCTTTTTATGAGGGCCAGGCTCAGACCCAAGTTGTAGGTCCAATGGTCGGGCCGGACTCGGGCTCGGGCCTTAGAAAAATCTATTAATACAGAGTAAAAGCCCGGCTCGAGCCCAGCCTAGCCCGGCCCATGAATAGGTCTAGCATGGGCTCCATATATACAATACACTGACGCTACACTACTACTGATAGGTTGCCCAACGCATTGTACATGATTTTGTCTCGAACCCATATGCTCCAATCTTTATATTCCATTCATTTTCACTTATCATATAAGGTAAGTGAGTGATATATCTTTCACATATTACCATCATTATTAATCAATACCAATTAAATGGAAAAAATGTAAACC